GACTTTTTTTAATTTAATTTTCTATTAATAATAATTTTTAAAATGTAAAATCATTTTTTAATAGAATTAGATGTCCTTATAGAATTAATTAGAAAAACAAATCGAATTTATAGTTTATGTAAACTTTAAGGAAGTATTTAAAAATTGGATTAAGGAAAAGATCTTAAATACCAATTGCTTCTTTTGAGGATAAAGAAGAATAATATTATTAAAACATGGACGAATAGAAATAATGTGAAGAATCACTATATTGTGAATTTAAAAGAATGAGTATTTCTGAACAAACTGATGAACATCTTAAAAATGCCAAAAAAAAAAAGTAATAATAGGAAGGAGAAAATTTCATGTTTCTATATTAATCCAATCAACAAATAGTGGAAGAAAATATTAATTACAGATCTACTAAACACAGTGTTGAATTATAGGAAATTGAAATTATTGACAATTCTTCTAATGTTCTCTAAGATTAAACAATAGAATAATTTAATATTATTAAAGTCGACGAAATTGATTATGTTAATTAATTAAGTTTCTTAAAATAACAAACACGTCTAAACCAAGAAACAAAATCTTAATTTAAGTCATTTAAGAAAAATAAATTTGATTGTTTTTCTATTAAACATAAAAAAATCTCAAAATGATAATGAATTTAATTTTGCTTTCTTAGATCTCAAAATTTTATAATATATATTAAATTGTAATAAATCATTTTGTTTATTCTGAAAATTAAAGAGAGTTTTCATTGAAAGTTTCTAAAATTATACATCTCTGTTTGAATTCAATCTTTAAAGAAAAGAAGTGATAACTTCAATAACATTATAAGTAAATCTATATCTCAACCAATATCTAGAATAATAAGTTGATATTTTAATAATTATAACATAAATTGTGAATCTATATTATAATCAATTTATATATTATATTATATTTTTTCTTTTCCATAAAAATAGTATTAAATATAAATCAAGTCAATGATTAAACAATAAATTTTTTAAATAAATACATTAATTAGTAATATTATTAATGCAATATCTTTTTAAATAATTTAAATAAACCAAGAGGATGAACATACCATTTCAAGTTAAGAATCAAAAGTGACAATTGATTAAGAACAAATGCGATTGAAGTATTTAAAAATACATATTTGAACCCAATCTCAAAGTATGAAATCAAAGTAGAAATATTTTGAAAATCAGAAAAAGTATATCTAAGTAAATGGAGATGAAACAAAAATTAAAATCTGAATTATCTGATATTTTTGGAAATATCAGATAATATAAATAATTAAAAAGAAAGTATTTTAAGTGTGAATTGGAAGTTTTTAGATGTTTATGCTGATTTGATAAGCAGAATAGGAATATGAAGAATTTCATGTTTAATATACTTCTTATTGACATAATAGAAGGATCAAATATTTTATAGAATGAATGAAAATGAAAAAAGGTTATAGCATTACACATAATTGACATTAATATTATAAAACAAATTTTTATGTTGAAAATGAGTGATTATTTAAATATTAAAATTATTGTAAAAAAAAGTATGGAAGCTGAAAAGGTTAAATTATGGTTAGATTGTGATGTTGGGAATGATGATGCAATGGCAGTTATTTTATCATTGTTTCATCCAAAATCAAATCTACTTGGAATTTCCACATGTTTTGGAAACACAAGGTATTAGTTTGTATTGAAAATAGTCTTGAAAACTGCACAAATAACACTATTCGTATACTGAGTTCACTAGGACGAACTGATATACCTGTGTTTAAAGGAGCTGAATTTTCATTAAAATCGACAAGAGCTACAACTAAAATGCACGGGACATAAGGTTGATTGATCAAAATATCTATGTTAGGGTTGTACTCGGTTGATAAATTAATTTCTTCCTTCAAGCCCTTAGAAGACATAGAATTATATGATCTTATTAAATAAACTGCAGGGGATTAACAAGTATAAGAATATAATTAAGTTAGTTTACAATTGTCATAACAGGTCCATAGACTAACATTGCCAAGTTACTTCGTGATCACGAGGACATTATACCATAAATTTCAGAGATTGTGTTTATGGGTGGAACATCGGGATTTGGGAATGTGACACCTAATTCTGAATACAATATCTATTCAGACCCTGAGGCTGCCCAATTTGTGATTGATGTATGCAAATAGCATTCATTGAAATTAGTTATGATTTCATTAGATCTAACATACGTACTATACATTAATTTATAAAATTATTAGACATGTTAATTATTAGAGCCCCTTTAACAAAGAATTAAAAGCATAAACACAAAGTTTTCCGATTGGTGTTTGGAAATGCTCTAAGAATATTAAGCAGCATACAAGGCATAAGAATTTGATTTCCCTCCAATTCATGATCGTAATATATTGATTCTAAGTTTAGCTGTTGCTGTGTTTTATGCATTACATCCAGAATTATATGTAATAAAACCTGTTTATTGCGCAGTCGATTGTGATTCTAAATTGTGTTATGGAAGAACTATAATTGATAAATAGGGGATTCTTGGATAGGAGCCAACTATATAGTTTGCAAGAAAAGTAGTTGTTGATGAATTTTGGAACTAAATGATTGACGCCATTCAAGTTGCTGCAAAGAATTCAAAAATTGAATGATTTGTTAGAATTGTTTTATTTAATTTATATAATAATACATGTTTATTATTATAATTTAATTACAATGGCATAAGCTCAGGCATTGGCTGGAGAGAATTACGAATTCAAAGCTGCTCCAGAAGTTGTGAAACCGAAACCTAAATACAGATAACCGGCTTTATTATCTTCAGAGGATCAAAATAATAGGTTGGTAAATGATGATTATATTAAGTTCATTGTTGGGATGCAATATAATGTTTGATAAAAGGGTTGTAAGAGGAAATACTTATGCAAGTGTGTAAACATAAGGTGATAAAAAATTAATGACACTGAAATCATTCAAAAAACCATAACAAAAATCAGTTACATATTAAAATTATGATCCTAGGCTTAATAACCATAGACAACCTATTTACATCCAAGCACTCCTAGACCATTTTAAAATCGTGTTAACATTGATATCTAAACTGATGAATATTTAGAAATATTGACAGATAAACCACCTGAATAAGAGATGGATGCATAAACCGACTACTATATTGATAAACCACCTGATAGATTGTTTGTACCGAAGAAGAATGGTATAGATAAAGTAAAAATACTAAAAATCTTAAGGAAACCTAAATTTGGGAAGGAGATCTCTTTGATTTTGATTAGGAAGTAGAACCAATCTTGTAGGTCTTAATGAATAAGATATTGGAACAATCAAGAATGGAAGTATTGGAAGAAGAAGAAATTAAGTTAATGAAGCACTAATAGAAATAACATGAAAAATAAAAGACTTCAGTTCTATCAGAAATGCAAAGATTGGAGGCTGTTCAATAAAGATTAGATTAAGAGGAGGCAAGAAGAAAATTGCAATATGAAACATTTTTAAAAATACAAAAGCAAAGTCATTAAAAAATAGTTTGCAGAAATCTATCAAAATCATTAATAAATCCTCTTAAATAAAATACAATTAAGAGATTATAGGATTTAGGCGTTTTTCGAGATCCATTAGAAACAGCTTTATTATATGAGTATATTCCTTGGGTTTATGAAAATGTGTTAAATTAGTTAGTTGATGAAAATGATAATGCGTCTAATTTTAATAGTAAATCATTAACATTATTAGGATATGTTAAATACTATCGAAGAAACTATTACTATTGAGCATTCAAATTCATTAAAAAGAAGGTAATAACAGATCGAGGACAAATATGAGGAAATTGCCAGAAAAAAAAGAGAGAAGGAAGAAAATAAAAGAATGGAGGAAGAAAGACGACTTAAAGAAATAGAAGATTAAAGATTAGCTGAGGAAGAAGCTGCTAGATAGGCAGAACAAGAACTTTTGGACTAATAATAAGAAAATTAATAGTAATAATAATTATAATCATGATATTAAATAAATAATTTAATATTTATGTAAGAATAATTAGAAGATATCCAAGTTCTTTAAAAGTTATATTCAGCCTAAGGAAATACTCCTGAAGAGATTATTACTAATTTCAAAAATCAATAAAAGCAACATCTTTCAAAACTATTTAAATACATTTCTAATGAGAATGAATTAAATTAGTTTTAATTGAAGGGATCTATCATTGGGGTCGACATTGAACATACGAATGACATTGGATTTGATGGATAAATAAGCATTGTATAGATTAAGGATGACGAAGATGTTTATATAATAGATGTGATTGAAATTGGAGTAGACAATCAAAAATTGATAAATGTTTTCAAGTAAATATTTGAAGATGATAAAATAATAAAAGTGTTTTATGCAGGGAGTACTGATGTTTTGTGGTTGAAAAGAGACTTTTAAATTACTATCTAGAATTTTTTTGATATAAAAGAAGTTGCAGATGAATGCAAATTAAGTAAAATGTTTAATTCTATCTTTAATAGAGGGAGGTAGTTCCTTGATTTTCCTTTGGAAATAATATTGTGATCATCAAGTTTCTAAATCTTATAAAACTAATATGCAGACATCTGATTGGGCTGAAAGACCTTTAACTTAAGAGTAATTAATTTATGCTGCTTATGATTGCTATTATTTGCCATATCTGAGATATGTTTTACTGGAAGAATTGAGCAAAGCCGATATCAAAAAGCAGAGCAAAATTTAAAAGAAATTCGAGAAGGCTATTCTTAAAGATTATAAGAAACCTATCCTATCAAATTAAGACTTAGCTAAAATTATTGATAAAGAATACAATCTCCTAATGCAAATAGTTGCTGAAAATGATGACAAGTCTCCAATCTATTCTTTTTTAAAGACTCAGCCTGTTGCTGTTTAATTGGTTAAGTTTATAGCATTAGAAATCATGAAGATTAGACAGGATTATGCTATTCATCACAATGATCCAGTTGAATGTTTAGAAGAGAATGAACAAGTCATTTTAATTGCTATTCATATTTATTAAAGATTAAATATTCAAGACATTTAGGTTTATAAGTTGACTTATCCTGACTTTTAGAATTATTCAAATAAATAATTTGAATTGACATTGGAATACATCTAAAAATAGATTGATCAAGATTGGGAAGTTTATTTTAAATCTTTTTGCAAAGGACTTTATTAGAGCTTTATTTTTGATTAAAATTTTATTAAATTTGGATTAACTGCAATATTTGAAGCATTGTAAATGTCGCCAGAACCTAAGAACAACTAATCATAACAAAAAATGGATTAAAAGAAATAAAAGCAAACAGAATTCGTAGAAAAATACACAAGAAAAAAGCCAGCATATGGAAATTGTAAAATATACACAAAGGAGAACTTCTTTTTGTGCAATTGTGATGAAAAAAAAGTGAGGTGGTATTTGAAACAAGGATTGGCTGATTTGATAAGTGAAGATCCTCCTACAATTTAGTTGAAATTTGATCCAAGTGGGTTTAAGGAAGAAGGATCTGATAAGGCCTAGTATGTAACTATAGAGAGAGTGAATTAATGTGTAATTTGTGGAAAAGAGAATGAACTACTTAAATTTCATGTAAATAATATTATTGAATTTAGATTGTTCCAGTTGTATATAAAAAACATATTCAAGGGAAAAGATCTTATGATGTGGTTTGTTTATGTTTAACTTGTCATCATAAGGCAAGTGCTTTAAATGATAAATTAAAAGCAACAATTGCAGAAAAATATAATATAAATGTGAAATAAAATAAAAAGGAGACATTACCAGATATGGTTAAAAATTTAATAAAGGCAGTTTAAGCTTACAATAAAAAGAAATAAAATCTACCTAAAGAGGCCTATTAAAAATTTTAAATGTAATTTAATAAGCAGATAGAATAATTAAAAAGTCAAGAATTATTTAAATAAATTAATTAATTTGATTTGAATAATCTAAAATATGAGGAAAACTTAATTAACATTAATGATGAATAATTTTTAGCATTTATTTCTTATTTAAAATAAAATGAAGAGTTATTTAATTAAAATGATGATAATTCTGATTAAGGAAAATTAATTGTGGAACAATTAAAAACAGAAGAAGAAATAGATGAGTTTTTGGTTTTTTGGAGAGATAACTTTTTAAGTATTGATTTATATTTAATATAAAGATGAAATGAAACCATAATATTTAAATGAAGCTTGGGCTATAGATCATAAATTTAAAAGAACCTTTGGAGACAAATCTTAATACAATCCCAACTATTAAAAATAAGAGAAATAAATAGATGATTAAGATTGAGTGATTTATTTTATAGTACATTTATATATTCTTATAATAATAAGTATACAAATTAACTTAAATATAAGATTAAGTCATTATGATTTCCAGTATGAACTATTCCTATTTCTACCTACTTTGTATTAAATTCCCCAAATTGTAAAACTGTATCTTTTTGTGGAATCGATGGATTCTCTATGAAATTAATATATATAATAACATACAACAAACTACAATAATATATAGTATCATACTTTATACAAGAATTAAATATATGTTAAAATTAAAACGAATCTTAATAATGTTTGTGCCTTCAATCCCCATTCCGGATTGTTTTAATCATCACTAAACCACCAAAACTAGAAATGAAATCTATCATACATTGTATTATTTCATCCATAAAATATCATAAAAGATAGAGGCAACTAGGCCTACTCCAACGAGTTTTAAATGAAATGTTTCGAACATGTCCATGAAGATTGTGAACATGAGACCATGACAAACTAAGACCTTCAATACAGATTATTAATATGTACATCTAAGAAAGAGGGCTTAGCAGAACAAACAAATAATGTGATCAAACCATATAAACTGAATATAATGACACCATGTTGCAAAATCTCAGGAGCATCTGGTGTTTCTTCAAATTATTCTAAGTGTTTTTCTGATTATAATACAGATGGTATTTATTCTCTGTGTTCAGGAGTCTATAGTTTATTTGGATTTAGCTAATCTCCCTTATTCATTTATGGATGTTGATCAAATTATTCGAAAACTTCATTCTGTTGCTATTTGAAACTCTGCTCCTTGAATAATTTTATTTTAAATGGTCTCTCAATAACATCCAAATCAGTTCTGTACTCATTCAAATCATTTTCAAGAGTGAAAATCTTTTAGTCGAACTTCTGCAATTGAGTCTGTAAGTATTGATGCTAACAATCTTTTAGAGTGATACTTTATTTAGTACTATCTAGGCCTCCAATTCAATGCTAGCCCCAAGTTCTCGTCCTTATAGATCTTTGAATTGTAGTTCTAAGTATTTTAAGGCTTGATCATCTAATTGTTGAATTTGCATATATGATTATCCCCACAAAGAAGGAGAGGCAGCGTTAGTCTAAATGAAAAACTGAATCGTAAGCGTTGTTATCATTGGAGGAATTTAGCTTAAATTTAAGGTTAAGAAGTATTTGATTACAATTCAAAATCCTAATTAAATTGTGGATTTACTCTATCATACTATTATTCTGGTTTAGCTATTTTATTTGTGACACCCAAAATTAACTATATCTGACAATTTGTGTATTTTAGCTTTAAAGGTATATTTTTTGCAGACATTAATGTCAAAAATAAGAATCTAGTATCAGAATAAACAGCTAATGATAAGATGATAGCAAACATGTTTCTGCTAATTATTTCTCACAAACTGCCTTATTTTAAGAAATTTGTTTTAACTATAGTTCTGCCTTCTTAATCTTTTCATACAGTATTAGACTTGCATCTACCAAAGTTTGACTAACATCTGCTAGTCTGTATAAGAATTTCAAATTTTCTTGTATTGGATGACATTATTCGAATATTTGTTGAGCGATGTCTTGATCGAACTCTCTTTTTCCCATAATATCCAATTTATAAAGAATTTCCTCCTGATTGAATTATTTATCCTGTTTCAATCCATTTTCCTCGAATGCTCGCAAAACAGTTTATAAATTTAACATATTAATTTTATTGATAATATAGAATTCTTCAATTATTACCTTTCTATTTCCAATTTAATTAAAAATCTGTTTCTAATGGTCCATCCTCATTGAATTCAAGTTCAACTTTCTTTTATTTCAAACTTCTATTCTTTAAAATCCTTTCTCTTCTTTTTTGAATGTCTTACTTCTCATTCAAAATATCAATATCTTCATCTACTACTTCGTTTTATTATTTAATTTTCTTTAATTACTCTTCTTACAATTACTATTGTATTTTTGTTTCTACTTCAATTTAACTAATATTATAAAATTGAATATGTACTCAAAGAAATCTTCAGGCAATTCATTTTAATTCTTCTTCTCATAAGTGATTTACTCAATTTCAGCAAATTCTTAATCAACTTCCTTATTTATTCGATCGATTTATTGTTTAGTTAATTTTTGTTTTTTCATTTTCTCTTCTCGAAATGCTTCATTCTCTAATCTATTTACATCTATTTAAGCATTTCTTTTCAATACTTACAAAGCATCTTTATGTCTTTATCCAATCAGATGTCTCTTGAAATCTGTAAGAGTCTCATTAATTGATTCACATTCCACACACTAAATGATAAATAATAAAGTAATACGATTATTTTTCCATCCATCAATTAAGCATTTTTAGGTAATTCAACTTAAGATACTTTTTATCTTCTTTTTTCTTCCATAAGTCTTTTTAACTCATCTTAATTTGACATATTTATAAATTAAACTTTATAAAATGAATAGCAATGCAGAAATCACATTAACAATAGAAGAATTAGTTTAGTTATTATTGAGTCCCCAATTACCAAATATTCAATCAAGTTTACTATCTTTATGCCAATTCGAATTTAGAAATAACCATTCAGAAGTAAATAAAGACATTGTATTCAGTAATTAAGAGTAATCCAATCATAACAATCGATCTAATAACAATACTACATCTCTGTTATTGTTAAACAAAATGAATGGATTGCAAATTGAGAATGATAATCTCAAAAATAAATTAGAATAGCATATCATGTAATAAAATAGTTTACAATAATAACTCAATTAATATTTATCACAATAACAATAATTAAAGTAAGATAATCAAATACTATAATAAAAAATGGACGAAATCCAAATATCTTATAACAATAAAAAAATAATAAAAAATAGACATGATGCCATATCTAAATCGGTTCATCGAGATCAGGAAAAGATCGTTCTAGCTAAATCGTTGGCTCTTAATCAGCCTCTACGTAAATTCTCAGGTTGTAGTGGTGTTGTAACTTAATATCCATTTGGGAACTCAAAGCGAAACCCCAATAATGTTCAAACTGCCAGGAGTAATTAATGATATTTAAATGTATTGTATTTTGTTACTTTCTTCATACTCCAATACTGAATATATGGCAAATTTCACATTGTATGGTCCCTTATTAATTTTTATTAATGTTTTCTTATTATATTTTATCTACACTATTAGGATTAACTTATTCTAAGTGGACAAGAACGCCAGAAATAAAAATCGACAATTTCAATTCAACTGATTCAGCTGTCTCTATGAATATCGATAATTTTCATCATTTAATGTATCCGAATGCATATGATCTTGACTTATATTACCGATAAGGTATAAGCAATTCAAGGAATTTGAGTGATTATGAAAGGATAAATAATACTCAATTATAAGAGCAGGGATGCTCATATTATGAAAGAAAAATAATAGTTGAAGATCAACTGCAAATTCAACTCCCTGATGATGGCAAGTATATTTTTACTGATTTGGTTGTTATTGAGTAATCAGCATTTTTATTGAGAAATGATAATAAGATCTTCTCTTTAGAAGTTGTATCTAATGGAAATGAATTGCAAGTATATCAAATTTCAGTATATTTAGAAAATTCAAGTATAACAAAAGCATCTAGATATATCCAGAGACTTAAAAGTGAACTAATAGAAGAAGGCTAGGTTCTTGAAGACGAAGGATTTATTATTCGTCATTTCAGAAAATGGAGTCATAAGTTTCAATTCAAAATAGTGGACCAGCAAAACTCTACCAAATGTGACTAAACATACTAATTGCACATTTACAACTATTAATCACATCCATTATGATGAAATCTCAAGTAGAGTTTTCGTTGTTTAAGGGACATAAGGAGTAATTGTGTTCAAGATTGTTAATGGTGAGTTAAAGGAAATGTATACAATAAATTTAGGTAATAATCTAATAAAAGTGTAAACTAATGACAATAATCTATTCATATTAGATGATAAGAAAGGAATTCATTTTGTCACTTTAAAGGACGACAATTATGTTATCGATTGTAATTATAATAATTAATAAAGTAGAGTTTTTCATTCCAATTGAATATCCAATTTCATTTGTTTACAGAAACAATTCATTTTTAGTTGTTTCTTAGACTGAAGATAAGGTTAGATTCGGAATTGAGATCTTGATCAACTTTTAAAATCATGAATATTATTATAATAAGTTCTATTTAGAAGACATGTAATTGAAAGATGTTTAAGAGGCAGGAGAATATAAAGTATTGATTGGCTATGATGTGCATAAATTGGTGAGAACCAATATTTATCGTGGTTTTGTTGATGAGAATTTCTATCATGGAACTGATTTTATGATACCTTTATTGGAAAAAGTACAAGAATTTAATGGCTTTGTATTAGAGAATTCCAATTCAAAGGTGCATTATTCATTAGGTCTCACTCCTCATTACTTATTTGGTTTGGGGATTAGGGAGAAGTATCCAGAAATAGTCTGTTCTTCTTAAAGTTAGATTGAATAGAGTTATATGATAGTGATTAATTCCACTTAATGCAATAATACAGAGAAAAATCCATTTGTAATTTGTTAAGAATAGCATTTTTTGGGACTTACAATTAATGAAGTATTTTTAGACTTTTAATCTTAATTACTTGTGGAAGTCGTTTTAATTTTAGGATTTATAATTTTCATTATATTTCTAGTATTCAGCATAATAATGTGTCGAAGATGGAGATTTGCAATATAAAACATGAAGAGGAAGAGCAAACAGTATGTGAATGTGTAAATGTCATGATTGATATATTATTTTATTAATTATAATGTGGAATTTAATCTCAATTAATCCGATATGTTAGAAAAAGAAATTGGTTTCTGATTAGGAGAGGTTATTATTAAATTGTAGAAACATGAAGAAGACAATCAATAATGGAGAACCATGGAAACCATCTCATTCATTATCGAAAGTTAATAACAAATATAATCATTGTAACTAAATATATATAAATTCACAAAGAGGAGGAGAATAAAATCATGCACCAAAATAACATCTTGCTATCTAAAATGATGGATATATAGAGACATAATTTGAGAAGTTAGAGTTCTGGATAATTACCATCATAATTATCACATGTGAGCAATCTAAACCAAAGAAAATTCGAGAAATTCAAAATCATCAAGAAAATCAAAAGTTTCTCTCTCGACTGCAATCTGCTTCGTCAATTTACAACAAAAATTATTGGTAACCTGACAATGAAAAGAAATAAATTTACAAATAAATTATATTAAAGAGGACAAGTTATATTTATTTATTATTTTAGAACTCAATCAAGATTTTAATGATTTAGCCAGGAAATCACTTGAAAGTAGATCGACAGGAAGAATGCTTTCATGTAATGACATATCTTTATTTAAGCAGCCCAATAATTTAAGCGGAGACAGATGTCTGATGAATAATTCTAATTCTAACAATCGCCAGAATGATTTAACATTCACACATTTTCAGTATTTTTATCTTAATAAGATTAATTTTCATTTGATATCATGATTTCTGTTATTATTTAAGTTTTCATCCTAAACATTGCTAATTTATTAAGAAATTTATATTTCACATTAATTATTTAAATTAGATGATTAAATATAAAAGTAGAAGAGGAATACAAATTTTATTTGCTCTTAAACATCTCATTACTGCAAGTTTCTCTTAGGATATCTATCTCATAATAATATCAGCAGCCAATTTAATGGTGTAAGTCATTTTGCTCAAGAAGAATCTACATTCGATTTGGAAATACATAAGAATATTACTCCTCCTAGAGTTATGTTTCTTTGATCACTAATTTACGCCTCCAATTATTGTGTCTATAAATTTTAACATCAAGTTTAAGATCGTAATACTGGTCCTTTATTGCTGTCGTGTAAGCTTTATTTATTTCAAAGTTTTCCAAATCATAGATTGGGTTTACTTAGGAATTCTATTTGTATCATTCATATTCTACATCTACTCCTATGTATCAAATTATTTATTTTTAGGATAGTAAATAACTAAACAGTAAGAATTAGATATCATCTGAAAGAAAATTGTCATATCTTAACATAAACTCCTAGACAGATTAGTAAGATGTATTTGATCTCTTTAATTTTCTACCATTTGGAATTTGCATTTTGGATGATAAATAAAACATTACAAATTCTAATTACAAAGCGAAAAAATATTGTTCAAATATCAAAGAAGAAAATTTTTAGTCCCAATTGTTTATGATGATTTAAAAGTAAATTTGTCTTAATACTCAAGGGCTTGCCTACAGTAATTGGACAAGAAATCCATATTCAATTCTTCTGAGGATTAAATGTCTGAGTTTTAGATGAAAAGATTATAATCTTTCAGTCAGACTAGAAAAAAAGCCATATCTTAACAGAGATAATTTAGTAATTTTATTGATATTTCTTAAATAATCAACAAACACAAGACAAATAGAGGAGTCTCAGATAGTTTTAATCAAAATGCTCTCAAATATAGAGATCCTACTACGACCAAGACATATGAAATTAAAATATACGAGATTACTTAAGGAAGTATGATTTGTATACAGAATATATCAAAAAAAGAAAGACAATTTGAAATTCGAGAAAGATTTCGGTTTTAATCAATGCTGATAAACTCTTTTTCTCATGAATTGAAAACCCCATTAAATTGCTCATTGGCCCTTTTATAAATATTAGAATAAGAATTAAAATCTGAAAAACTATAATAACACTAACAAATTGAATAGACTTATTTAAAACCTGCAATCATTTCAAACAGAAAACTGTTACATTAGATCAACGATATTCTTGATTATGCTAATTTTGAAGCATCAACATTCTAATTAAGACCAAGTTCATTTAAAATATCAACATTAATCCAAACAATAGATTATTATTTTAAGGATGAATGCCGATAAAAATAAATTAACTTTGTTGTTCAAACTTGTGATGACAGCACAATAAATAATGACTATGATAGAATAGTCTAAATTTTAGTAAACTTATTAAATAATTCAGTCAAATTTACTAAACAAAATGGCCTAATATAATTCAATATAAACAGAATGGGTTCAATTTATTCATTTGAAGTGTTTGACACTGGTTGTGGGATCTCTGTTGAAAAACTCTATCTGATTAACAAAATCCTCTAAAATCAAGAAACTGACATCCTAAAAAGAGGAGATGAAGATTACATCTAATATGTTGGTCTTGGATTAAAGGTTTCAAGTTAAATCGCATTAAAATTATGCCATAAAGGCGAGTTATCTATAACGAGTTCATTAAATTAATTTACAAAGGGAAGGTTTTACGTTTAAGATCTAAGTACACAGGAAGAGATTCTTACAATACCAACTGATGAATTCATTTAGATCCCTTATTAAAGTAAAACTAAAAAGTAATGTCATTGCAGTCATGTATTGATTGTAGATGATATTCCCTTCAATCATTTAGCATTCATTACAGTCTTAAAATATTTTAATATAAAATGCGATAGTGCTTATGATGGAGTGATGGCCATCGAAATGGTTAAGAAGAAGTATGATACTTGTTAATGTGGATATAAATTAATTTTCATGGATATTGATATGCCTGGGATTGATGGTTATCAATGCAGCAAAGAAATTTCATAGTTTTTATAATAGAAGAACATTTTGTCATTCATTATTATGTGTAGTGCTTTCGATAGCAAAGAGAATATTGACATAGCGTATAAATCGGGAATGAATGATGTCTTGCCTAAACCCATAGATACACAACAACTTAAAAAAATACTCAGCAAATATTATTTTTGATCGATATTTATTTCTATATATATTATTAATTTAAGTCAAAGGAGAGTGACTTTGTGAGAATGTCTGCAATTGAGAATAAAGAATAGTATATATATATTTAATAAAATAAATGATAATTATTATTGCCACATTGATTTTATAATCCATTATACTAGCAATTTATAATGGAGTTACTGAATAAACAGATAATTACTATTTGTTAATGGATTTACTATTGATATTTGGATGTTTCGGATAGAAAATATTATTGGTTTTGCTTATAGGAAGTGTATGTCTATCATATGAATTGTTAAACTTGGAATAAGATGTAAAAACCATTTCTAAATTAGACCTTAGGCTTCTATCTAAGTGTGAGACTCTTATTGAGTGCTTTCATCTTACTCGACACATCGAAAGTAATCTATTTTGTGTTTTGCCTCTTCTACTTCCTTTTTAGGACTCATTTTTACTCATAACCGTTGGCATATCTAACCATATTCGGATATTTGATCTTGATCATTCGAAGTAAGAATTTGAATTTATAAATAGCTCTGTATATAAAACACAAAACACCCAACATTGAAAAACAGCAGATTGATCAAATTTTTGATTTCTTTTAAGAATCCCTCCCTATATCTGTTTGCGTTATACAAGACGAGCGTATGATATGAATTTAATACTAGAATACAAGTTCATGACCAATTAATTTAAAATTGATTATTATGGACTTACTCCTTAGATTATCAAAAACATCACATCCAAATCCAATAAGGAGTGTCTGGGGACTTACTTAAACAAAAAGAAGTTTTTAAAAAAGAGATAATATTAATATCACAGTAAAAAGCGATTCGAGCATTGCACTCTTGAATCCTTCACTCCAACCTTATAGGAAAAAGAGTAAATTAAGAATTACTTTCCTGCAGACATCGATGTCCTCGAAGTAATTTGGGAACAATAACCGGCCATTATGCTCATTTTCTAGTCCCAATCTGAAAAACAATAGCAATAATAAATTGAAGAATTAAAATTGAGAGACCAATACAAAGACGATCTCTTAGTAAGTGTGTCACATGACTTCAAGACTCCCATCAATGGAATTGTTGCTATTGTCCAATATTTGGAATAGTAATTATATATTTAATAATTTCTTAGAATAGTTGTTGATCAAATCGAAATTAATTATTTAATCATATTAAAAAAGTGGGCTCAATTGTTGTTGTACATGATCAGTGATATCTTGGACTTCTCCAGAATTCAAAAGAACACTCTAAGATTAACTAATACAACCTTCTACATCCAAGCCATCGTCTAAGAAATTATCGATTTGGTTTCTTTGTAAGCCAATCAGAAGGGAATCATTGTCTAAAAGAACATCACTTTTGGAGACAGATTGATGTATTCTGATCCCAATCGGATCAAATAAATTTTATTGAATCTCTTAAGTAATTCTCTAAAATTTACACAAAAGGGTAAAATCGATATTGTTGTTGATTATAAGAATAGTGAGATTGAGAATTAGTAAGTCAGACTCATCACAATAAGTGTTTCAGACACTGGAGTCGGTATACCTGATAATATTAAGCCTAAGTTATTTTAAATGTATGGAACATTTGATTTCACTAATAATGGTTCAAACAAGCATGGCATAGGTTTGGGACTAGTTATATGTAAAAAATTGGTTGGCTTATTGGGACCCACAGATAACATCGATTTGATCAGTCAAGTTGGAATTGGTTCTAAATTTAGTTTTGATGTTTATATTAATAATGATTAAAGAAATCTGACCACCATTACCAATTCAAAAGAAATGACAACCTTTTATAAATAAGATACTAAATAGATATCCTATGATCAAAACTCAGAAAATTAGTTATTAACATCACAATTTACTATTTTCAATCAATCTCTTTTAGCACCTCCTTTGCAAAACTAAAAAAAATTAAATAAAAAAAGCATTTCAACACTTTAAGAAATTCAAGATAAAAAACTATCCAATTCCATTTACTAATTGAGAAAAGTTTAGAGAAAGAAAACTTCAAAAAAGTCATTGATAAAACGGGAAAATCAGGGTGGCTTATATAATTTATGTAACTTATGCAGTGTCGAAGACTCTGATCATTCTAAGTCAAAGAATATAGAATAGTATCTTGAATTAAGTAGTGAAATAACAAATGCTAAATAAATTTAAAGAACACATAAATAAGTAGATAATAATAGTCCTCTGAATACACCAGGATATAATATTGATAGTACGGAGTCACCAGCAATCTAAAATAGACAACGAAAGCCCTTACAGATAAAAGAATCTATTGATGAAATGATGAGAATGCTATTTCCAGAGCCTTGTACTATTTTAGTTGTTGATGATTCCCCTGTGAATGTGATCGCATTTAGATTGATTCTAACAAAATATGATTTTATCACGGTTGAAGAAGCTTATAATGGAGAATAAGCGATTCAAAAGATAAAATTGCGTATGATGAATGAACAAAGATATCAATATATATTTATGGATTTGACCATGCCTATCATGAATGGATATGAAGCAACAGAGCAGATTCGATTATTGGTATTCATATTATATAATCAAGTATAGGAAAGCAACAATCTCCTTCCTAAAAGCTATATTATTGCATTGACTGGATACGACGATTTAAAAGAAAAAGAGAAATGCTAATAGAAAGGGTTTGATGCTTTCGTATCAAAGCCAATCAAGATTATCGATATAATCTCTGTAATTAATGAAGTCAAAAATTCAAAGGAACCATAAATTTGATTTTATAATAACTTATATTCTAAATTTTTAATGAATTCGCGTGTTGACCATTATCAAAAGACTTATTAAACAAATAAAAAGAACTTGGAATAGTTTGTGGAATAATGTAATTGTATGGATAAAATAGTTTAGAAATGTTGTATGACAATTTTAAGTAATTCTCAAGCGATGAAGGTGAAGACGAAGAATAAAGTGAGTAAATCTTGTGTTAATATTTTCTAGTATTTTAGGGAGACAAAGTCATTCTGTATTACAAAGGCCAATAATATACCTTCCCATTAAGCATTATGGCATTGGCTTCTTTAGAAAATGTATTGAAATATTTATCGTAGGTCTTTTCTGTAGAGAATTTCACAAAACAGGAGATTGATTCTTTATGTTGTCTATTGCCTGAAGCTGATTTACAACTATTCTAAGATGTGATTGAAGGCACTAAAAATTTTCATTTCGGGAACCCATTAAATATTTTCTTGACGAAAATGAAAAGTGGATATTTTACCAGAAATAAAGAAATTTGTGAAAAATTGGAGTAGAAAATCTCAAGAAACCATTTAAATGAATACTATTCAAATCTCTATGATTGCTTTCATAAAGATCAAAATAGAATTTAGAATGCACTTTAAAGAAAGAAAAGAATCATATTTTAGCGATCTCCATCATCGATTTCCGAGGATTACGAGATCAGTAAATAGGTGAAATTAGATGAAAATGATGAATTGGAAGATGATGGATTCTCAACATAAACATCTCAATCATAATCCTCAGCCAATGTCTAACAATATTCCTTATAACCTCAACCCTAAATCCAATAGTAGTTCATTCCATCAGCCCAATCCTTATTTATCATAACCCCAATAACCCCATTGCCACCTTTAACTTCAACTTCAATTGCTACTACAGCTATGACTCTGGCTTTAATGCAAGCCAAAAAATCAATAAAGCAGCAGAATAAAAATCAAACATAAAATTTTCAAGAGTCCAACATTCCCAACGGATAAACCAATAAAGAATGGCTAGAGTTCTATTGGAAATAAGAAAGAGAAAGATATTAAAATCCCCTTCAACCTTACACCTTTACGTGCATCGATAGTTCTAAAGTAACAGTGGCTCCTGTGGCTAAGAAATTAATATCAGGATCAAGTTAAAAGCCAAGATAACATGAATTGCTTAAAAACGAAAGACCCACTTATGTTACAATATTATCCCTTGTCAGAGATGCCTCAGCTAGGTTACCAAAGGGATTTGGTACAAGAGCAGACATTGTAAATTTAGTTAGAGACTCTTAATACATAAATGAGAATCTGCCAGAAGAGAAAATGAGTTCTATAATTTCAGGAGCCTTAGACAGATTGCATTAATCAAGTGATCCATGTGTTAAATACGATTAAGAAAAAAAGATCTGGATGTAATATATTATAAGAATTTAGTTATTTACATCATGATAGAGATTCCTCATATCCTGAATGGCAAGTGGCAACTCCAGCCAAAAATAATAGTAATAAGAAAAAGGGTTAATTCAAAGATGATTAAGAAATTTGATATTTTTTATTTGTTTTGTATTTAAATTATGTACAAATGAATAAACTTCACATCCAAACTTGATCCAAATTGCTCTTTCCACTATGGTCTAAGTTCTCTGAATCAATTCTGTTGTGCCAATTTCATTCCATTATCATACATTTACCTATTAATAAATATTTACCTGTAAGCATAATTTGTGATCTCATGCCCTTTTTTCTCTTTTCTTGCTTATTCTTCTTTTTTTTTCTTCCATTTCCAAATCTGAATTCTGATTCCATTTCCAATTTTTGATTCCTAATTCCAATTCAATTCTCTGATCCAAATTTTCCTATTCTCTCTTTTAAGCATGTTCAACTTCCAATAATGGCCCTTTTTATTACTCTCCATCTTCTCCTTTTAGGCTTCTCTCTAATCGGCATGTCTATTGTCCATTTCTGATCTCTCTTAACAACGTTCAAGGGATTTTATATCAAACACATCATTGTGTTGAAGGGACGTAATTTCACACACACACAATTCTTAGGCAAACATAAAATTTATGGGAAGGGACCAATTTTCCATGAATTAATATTCATTGGACACAAATTGGGTCTTCGGAGGGGCAACGGGCATTTATCACAAAAAACAGCACTGTTCCAATTTGGTTTGGTGGCTCAAGTCACAACTCATTAAAGGGGGGAGGCACAACTCTTGATTGATTGGCTTCTCTTTAATGGGGTAGCGCACTTTCAAACTCAAATTTTCATTTAATTTCAAGGAGGGACATAAGGGAATTCATTATTCGGTATCATCAAATTAACAAAAGTAATCTTAAAACAGAGTTAACAAGGGTCTTTCGTCTAAGGATAGTTCAGAATCTTATATTTAGAATTAAGGGTCTTATTTGGTCTATTGGGGTCTTCAAGAAATTAGAGGATGGTGGCACTTCAATTAGTATTCTAGAAAAATAAGGGATTTTCGAGTAGTCAAAAAAGCACTAAAATAACAAATAAGCATCTGCATTATTAACATAAATCTTTCGAAGTTTTCTTTAGGTTCTTAAAAGGAATTCTTGTTGATCTTTCGTTATGACATCAAAAAACTTGTATATATTAAGAAATAATCTTGTTTGAATTGGCTCTTAAAGTATGAGGGAACTCTCTTTTAAAATTAAAAGGAAATTGTCTTTTCATTAAGTAAATTAGAAAAATCTTGGGGCTCAACAAAGTTCGGTCAATAAGATATAAATGCAAAGGGTAGATCTGAGATTGGTCTTCAGTAGATTCTTTCATCTTCGTGATCGGTCTAATATCAGGAAAGGGGCTCTTAGAAAGATTAGTCTTTAGTCTGAATTATTAATTTTTGGGCATCTTGTCAAACAGGAAGTTGGGGAATCATTCTGAAATGGGAATCTTAGAAACTTATTTCTTAGAAAAGAATCTTGGGGACTCTAAAATAGTGGTTTCTCTCTGGCTACTGGCAATGTAGAATTTCGTTTCTTCGCTGTCATAAGTCTTGTCTCATTGGGTAGACCATTTGGTTCTCAAGAATTATTGATTATTTGGCTCAACTGGAAAAGAACAAGGTAGAAAACTTCTGTTTCTCTCTGTTGTCTGTCTCTTTGGTAATTTTTGGCATCTCAAAGTGGCACTAGAACCTGTCTAATGGCTAAATCTTCTGATTGTCTGTCTCTTGATTTGCTGGCTCAGGTCTTTAGATTCTAGGTCTTAGTCCATAGTTTCTTAAGGTTCCGGAATCGAAAGAAAAGAAGTTAAATCTGATCAGGGAAAAGGCTTCGGGTACTGTAGGGTAGCTTATCTTCAATTACAACATGTATTTTCTGATTTTGTTATGATAAATACTTAAAAACTTAAGTCTTAATCTTCTAATTCTTCTATTTAATTCTTCTATTAACTACTAGTCTCAGTGAATCTATTATAGAATCCATTACTTAATAAATAGAGGTTAAATCTTCTTGAAAGTTATGATCTATTCTTTCTGAATCTGTTTCTTTTAATTTGAATTTTGATTATCATCCATTTCCAATTTAAAAAATTCTTCATTTTTCGTTTATTTTGAATTATTAGATATCTAAATGACTTTATTATTCAATTCTGCTAAACATACATCAGGTGAGGAATCTAAAATAAGGTTAGTTACTTCAATTAATAAATTCTTCATTGAAAGAAACAATAGTTTTGAAATCTTTGATAGGGTTTATTTCTTTAGATTTTAAGAGTTCAACTAGAGAACCAAACATTATGATTTGAACCTAAAATTAATTTATCTACTTCAAATAATTATGATATCTTAGTTTCAGATCTATCTTTATTGTTAGATATAATTCAGGGGTCTTGATAAAGCACTCCACTCTAGGGACGTAGCCTAATAATAATCTATCTACGTCAAATATCTAAAGGGAATTGATTGTTTATTGGTTTATGATAGTTTTGTCTCTCTAATCTTTAACTTCTCTTCCATCTCAAAAGTTCCAATAATCAGATTTCAGCGGTAAGCAAAATTAGTGTTTCTTTCAATAGAGTTTATTGTCTCTTTTTCTCTTTTGATTCTCTTCATCCAAATTCAATTGAGTTTATCCTAAAATTAAGTTAACTACATTCTTTTTCAATTTGCTCTTAATTTCCTTCATAGTTTTCTATTCTTCCATGGTGTTATAGTAAGTTGATTCAATAGCGCACTAGCACTAGATGTTGGTAAAATAAGGTTGAAACAGAAACCAAGTTTGGAATCCTATTATAAAGTAATCTACTTGAAATTATTTCAATTGAACAATTCAGGAATTCAACAAACTCACTCTTAGTTTCTGCTGGACATCAGTCGTACTTAAACTTCATATGAAAACTTCAATTGTTTAAAAATTCATACATAAAACAACTAACAACAATTGCAGGGTAAATAAAAGGCAATGACTAACATCATAAAATTTATGAATTATAATAAATACTAATTTATTACATATTAAAATATCAAAAAGAAAACACTTTTTTCAATATTTTAAACATAATCACTTAATACTTAAAATAAAGCATAATTTTATTTCAGTTAAAATCATCAAAATAATAATAGTAGGCTAAAAAAACAATAATATAATAAGGTAGTAAGTTCCAAAAATATAATATTCCAAATAATAAAGTAAATGTAAAAGATCCAAATATAAAGAGTATTTCCTAAAAAGCAATTCATATCATAAGTTTCTAATTCTAATTATTAATAATCTTAATAGTTAGTTAGTTAAAATCTTAATGATAGTAATTTTTAGTTCCTAAATATTTTTGAATTCTAAATAATTAATACATTATTGATTTTAATTACTCTCTCTTTAAAGAATCCTTTTCCAAAAACAATAGGCATTTCCAAAAAAGTAGATACATCCAATAAAAGAACAGAGATAAAAAGATTTGTAATTCCAATATGACTTCACAATTTCTATTAATTTATTATACATATTCTTAAGTTCCTAAAAGAAAAACACTCCTATATAAGGACAGTTAAGAAAATCTTGAAAACTCTAAAGAAATTTCAATTGTTATTCAAATCTTAATTTTTCATAACAAATGTGACATTTGAATTAAAACAATTCTATACTAAAATGAGAAAACAACTAAAACTTTCTAGATTATCAATCTAATTGGGATCCGGCTAAATTTCTAAATTATTATAGTCATTAGTAAATGTTCCATTTTTTCAATGAAAAGCATTTTCATAAACATATAAATAATACGGTAAACAATAATTAATAATTTTTGAATTCTAATAGTATAAAGGTATTAATAATCTTCTAAACGAATAATTGGAGAATTAAATTAACAAACTAGGCACAACACAAAAGATCTCTCTGACATATAGAGTGTTAAAATTCTTTTTTCAGTTTCACGCATCCAAAAGATTTCTTCTAAACTCTAAAATGCCAATCTTCAAAAACTTTGATACTAAACACTTTTTCTTTAAAATATATATATTCTTGTATTTATTTTGAGAAATCCATCTACAAATGAACTTAGAATCCGAATGAATATTTCAATTTTAATTTTATAGGTATATAGATAGCGTTTATAAATGCATCCATATAATTAATATCAAATCTTTTTCCAAAGTGCACTTCTTGCTATCCTAAAATTCTTCTTAGTAAGGTGCGTATACTTCTATTGATTTTAAATAACCAATTTTTACTTTATATATAAAAAGCAAAAGTTTAAAATTATGGGTTTGATATTTATATTAACTCCGAATTAATCAGTCTAAAATGAGATATAATAGATATAATATAATTTATATATAAAATAATGGTTCAGCATCAAATCATTGCTCCTTCTGATTCTTAGATTATAAAAGATGATATAATTTTTAATTTAAATTTAAAATACTTTCTTCCTATATATTTATCTTAAAATTTGAAACAGATTCTTTCTTTTGAAAATATATAAAGGAGAAATTAATACATCTCTTAGGTTGTCTCATTGAATTGTATTTATAATTAATCCGAATAAGAAGTAAAATTAATAATAATAGAAAAATATAAATATAATGTCCAATTTTGAAAAAGATGATAATTTTAGTAATCTATTAAAACCAGATGTAACAAAGATAGCTCAAGGAATACTTGATTAAGAAATAAAAACATATAATTACAATAATCCCGAGGAATCATAGAAAAAAAGTAATTCAATCTGTGACACAATCTTAATTAAATTGAAAGATCTAAATCATAAGCACTATAAATTTATAGTTAGTTGTCTCATTCTTTAAAAAGCTGATTGTGGGGTCAGTCTCTCAGCATCTTGTTATTGGGATAATAATACAGATGGATCTGTTTCAGTAAAACAAGAAAGTGATAATGCTCTTTGTATAGTGAACATATTTGCTTGCGGAGGTTGAGGATAATATTTAATCATTATACATTATTATCATATATTGTATGTATTAGGCATTTTATAAACAATAAATTAATATATTAAATTTCAATAATGGAACAATTCATATCAACTAATAAGATATGAAATAAATGAATTATGAATAACTATTTAATTCCTAACAATTTTGGCTGAAGTTTCGTTTCAAAATTAGAATTCTCTTGTTAAAATTATTCTATTTACTTTTAGAGATTTACAAAAAAGTAATTAAAAATTTTAGAATAATCTTCAGTCAGCATATTGGAACATACTTTAATTGATAGATATCTTTCAAAAATGTAGGAGTTAATTAAAGAGCATAAGAATATGGAGTATAGTATTTCCAATAGACAATTTTTTTGGATCTTATTATTCGATAAGTGAGACTTTAATTTAAATATACCATCTTCTTACTTTAAATTAGATATTGTTTTCAAGAACTATCATATCCAAAGTGCATATGTATCGAAATTCGCTTTTAATGTTTTATTCCTATATGAAACAAAAAGTATAAATTTGAGAAGTCCTAAGCATTAACTTGAGCTTATTTTCACTTAATACTGAATTCTCAATAATTGACTTGATAATGTGTTTAGTCTTTTATTACTCAGTATTGGAATATTATGAAATAGTTTTATGAAATAAATTCAACTTAATTAAGTAAATTAATGAATTAAAATAATTATTGATAATATTTATTAATAATAAGAATATTATTGGACACCAAATTTATTTATAACATCACGGGTACTTCATTACTTACCATCTCCTTGATTCCCTTGATTCTCTTCTTCAATAGGGTTTTTTTCTTCTTTTTTTTCGTCATTAATGCTAAACAGAATTCAACTTTAAAAGTACGAGCCGGCAGAAGACTCTGAATGTTATGAGTCTTTTGAAGAGCCTCTTGAAGAGGACTTTGATTTCCTTTTTGTACTCTTCTTCTTATTCTTTTTCTTTCTGCTTGATGAACTACTTGATGAGGAATCCGAACTGGATGAGCTCTTCTTTTTTTTATGTTTCTTCTTGTGTTTTTTTCTAGACTCACTAAATTTTTATGTCTAATTCGTTACCTACTAGAGCTAGATGAACTGGAAGATGATGATCTATGTCTACAGTTTTTAGCGCTAATAAAATGGTAAATGACTAAAATATAAATAAATCGTATTCTATATATAAAGAAATGGATGCTATAGTGAAACTTACAAATGTCCAGAGCGACCGCATGAATAGCATAGGCCGTTATTTTTGCTCGGCTTATTACCACGAGCCATCTCGACCTATAACACTGATCCTTTTACTTCTTCCTTATTCATTTTTTTAACAGCTTTTTCTGCATCTTCAGAGTCTTTGAATTCCTACAATTAAGTCATCATATGTACAATGAAACAATATTTCCCTTTCCAAGCAAATTCTTCGATTTTTCCAAATTTTTTGAATAGTTTTTTAATGTCATGTTAATCCTCTTTAAGAGAATATCCTGTAACATATACTCTTTTCTTATTCTTCTTTGGTGATCGTGACCTCGACGAACTTGAAGAAGACATTTTATTTTAAATAAAGGATACTTTTTTTAATATAATTTTTATACTCAATTTTTTTACTGCTTCTCCATTTTCTCTAATTAAATTTTTAACAAATTAAACCTCGACACTATTTCATTGTATTCCACACATGTATTTTTATATTTCCTTCTGACTTCCATAATTTCTCTGGCCAGAATTTTAAGTTTATCCTAATACAAACGAAGTGATTCATTGTTTTTTTAGACCATAATTTGGTTCTATTTCAATTAACTCTCCTTCATATAGAGTTATTGATTTAACCCGCTGATTTTTTCATTTTTATCTGAGATAATCTTTTCTAAATCTTTCACCTTCTCACTATATTAATAAATTACTATATAAAATACTTTAAGAATCTTTTCGCATCTTAGTAGAGTCCCAATTAAGTCTTAAAATCTTCATATTGATCCTCAATTTATTTCTTTTCCTTCAACAAAAAGAAGAATTTGGTCATTATATAGTAATTGAGTGACTATAAATCATTGACTTCCTGAGACAAGTGTTATCCATAAACAAATAATGAGGCTAAACAACGCTATAATTATGATAGAAACATCCCAAATATCGAAGAATCTTGAGCACACACTGTACTGAGATCATACAATCTAGTGATGATTTATTGGGCAAACATCTGCGAAGAAGTTGGAAATTATTTTCTCTATAATTGAACCTATTAGATAGTAGTTTAGGGTTTGGGAAAGAATTGATTCCAAGGGAATTTCTCCTAGACCAAACTCTATAATGCTGCCTAATAACTTGATGCTTATTGAGTTAAATAGCCCTCCAATAGATCCATCACTAAATTAAATGATATGCATATTTTACAATCTCTATTGTGCTAATTATTCTTCAACCCTATAAAGTTGTCACCATCTATTAAAGATTGGCATTCACGTAAAGTAGGGATGATATATTCAGAGAAATTAACCTTTAATTCATACTACTTTATCATGATTTCTCTTAGTTTTGGATCATCACTCTATTTGATAACACTCTATTATATGATGTTTTTAATTTGAATACTTTGAATTCCTCATTTACACTTTGCAATAGTTTGTACTAATGATTAAATTTGTTACTGAGGGAATTTACTGCATGTGGAATAATTGTATTATGCGATATTAAGGAAAGATAGAGTTTGCGATTACAAATCATTAGACTTTGATAATCCTTTAGGGACAGGAACTATAAAATCTTACTTTTCACTTTTGATGCCAAAACCAACTCAAAAGTTGTCAAACTCCCTCCAATTAATGCCTTCTCATCAATGAAGCCTTACTTTTTAATATTGTTAAAATATGTAAAATCCTTCTAGAGATTGTTTATTTGTTGTTGCAAACCTTTGTTTTGATTTTCATACCCATTGCTCACTTCATTTAATCTTTGTATAGTTAATTCCTGTCTTTAAATCTTTTTATCCTTTTCTGCAATCGTATCTTTAAGTTATTAGATTTGATCATTCATTTACATAACTTTATCTTTTAAGTCTTATCTCGCCTTCCTAATTTCCTCATACAACTTAGTAATAATTTATTTAGAATACTTGATTTGTTCTCTGTTATTCAACAAGATAATGACTAGAATATTGTTCTTGGTTCTTCTTTAATTGAGTCCTTAGATCATCATTTTATTTAACAATAGATTAAATCATGTGATGCTCTTGTCTTAAGTAAAGCAACCATTTTTTCATTTTGTGCATAGCTGATCTCAGCAAATAGATTTTAGTTCTTGGAATTGTAATCCATCTATTATTTACAACATCAAAATGATTCTAAAATATTTTTTCAAATGAATGATAGCCTTCTTATTAGTGATGATAGATAAATGGATTATAATCTTCTTGATCATCGGAATCATCATTATCTCTTATATCAGGCAGATTGAAATGGTTTATTTCTTAATCCATATAAAATAAATATAATATACATAATTAATCAAATTTCTTCCTCCTATTATTACTTTTGATTAAATTTGGCACTAATGTAAAGCACATTATTTCCTCTCAATAATATTTAGCCATATTTGTTGATGAGTTTCTATTCCAGATATTCTTCACTATTATTTAATCATCCCACTAATTACCACTATTCCAAGACCAGATTCATGTTTCCATCCAAAGCAGCCAAAACACCAATGTACTCTGTTCGATTATGCAATTTCACATTCACTGTTCTTCCAAACACTTATTTAAAAAAGTCAGCCGACGTTCTTTTTTCATGAGACATTTAATTTTTTTAATTTATATGACAACTAAAAATATAAATTAGCTGAAACTGAATGCTCTCACCTAACCAACCTACTAGAATTTAAGGATCTCGAGAAATGCGGTTAAGCAATAATTAACATACAACGGTTAAAGTCCAAAATTAAAAGGAAAAAGTCCAAACTGTTCTTAATCATATATTCCAAGCCAATTATCTCAAATAGGGTCACCTCCCAAAGAGAAGTTGTCTTCTCTGATCAACATTTCATCGTCAGAAAGAATTGCTTACTCATTTAAGATACCAACCCTCAGAATTAAATCAAAGTGTTTTCTAAAGAAACATTCAACAACCCGTTTGGGAATGAGTTCATATGAAATCAATCTGTAAACAAATCTCCAATCCATTTTTGTTTTCAAAGGATCAATTCAAGATATGAGTTAATTCAAGGTGATCCAAATGCAAAGATCGGAATTGCAAGCTAAATAATAAGATATTTATCTAACAAGATAAAATCTATTATTAAAGATGTAGATGGGATTGAATGTTCCTAAGTTCTACAACCAATTGTCTTTGGGCAACTATGAAATCATTTAGTTCACAGAAGAGATTCCATAAAATTGCAATACCTTAATTTTAAGCAATACTGTAAATAAGGACTTCTGGACTGTAATCTTAAATTATCACAACTTGTAATTCACCCAGGATAAATTTGTTAAACTCTTGACAATCGTTAGCAATATTAATGACATCAATGATCTTTAAAAGTTTATCTTGGATAAGGACATTTTTTATACCTATATGGAAATCAAAGAGATTGTCCCCGATGAAACGCTGTTAACAATGAAGCGAAATAGCGAGGCCATGAAGGAGTACTACAAGAGCATTCATGTTTATGACCATCAAAAACAAAAATTGATTGAAGAACCAGCACATTAATTATATTCAGAAAGAAACATTGTTTAACCAGAAATAGAAAAAGAAACCGTCAGAGATTTTACAATTGCTACTACCTATCCAAAACCTTCTGAATTCTAATAAATTTTGGAAAAAGAGGGGTATTACAATCCCAGTCAAAAGAGAACCTCTAGTAGATGTAAGTCATTAATACTCTATTAGATCTTAAATTGCCAAATTTTAAAACTTAATATAGTGAGATATTAAAATAATAATCCATCAAATAAAAGAATCAGTATAATTATTTATTGATAACAGAAATTAGTACACAAATATCCCTGATCATATTGCTAGAAAGCTTCCTCATATGACCAATTATAATATCCCTTAATTAATGTAAGAAACAGGATTTGATAGATAAGAAATTTATGAGGTTTACAGCAGATATAAAGCATTGCTGAGTTATGAATGCTCTTAAATCCCAGGATTAACCAAATAGAGTAACTTTATTGTTTTTATGAAGTGATACCAAATGGAATTTCAAGGGAAGCCTTCAATGCTGGTTTAGAAGAACTATCAATGGCACCTCCTGGAGTCGTTGATCAGATTTTCAAGTTTTTTGCAAAACAAAATACCCTTACTTTTGAAGGGTTTTTGAAGGCTATTAATTTAATCAAGGCAAAAAGAAATGACAATAAAATTGAATTGATACTAAAAGTATAGTAATAGCAAAATATTTAGTTAATAGATGAAAACGAGAATGGATCTTTATCTTATGATGAAATTAAGAAAAGATGTATATTTATGATGGAAGAGATGCTGAAAGATTCTAAGGGGGAGTTAAGTGTGCCAAATATGGTTGAATATGTTACAAGATCAATATTTGATGTTATATTCTAAAAGTAATTATGTAGGCAGTAAAGATGAATTATGATCAAGAAATTCCGATTGAGATGATACGAAAACTGATAGAAAGTAAAACTCATGAAGCTTAGGTGTTAATTATGATGTGTTGCGGAGATGTCGATTATTTGAAATGATCCCCCCCATATTTATTAAGATATTGCATTTTGACTCCTAAAATTCAATATCCATCCAATATTGGACTAATAAATTATATTTTTTCATTTTATTACTCTAAATTTTTCAATTAATAATACGAATTAAAAAAATTAAAACAAATACAAATATTGCCACCAAGAATAACCTACTTTAAACTTAAGACTTGGACTTTTATTTCTTCTAGTCTATTTCATCCTAAATACTCTTTTTTGATAGTTTTGCCATCTATTCGAGTTTCGACTATTATGCTTATTGTTTCTACTCCTCACATTTGCTGACTATCAATTATTTATAGGATATTACTATATAATTTTATCTATTTTGCTAATTTTCCATTCACTTTCTAAATAGATTTTGGTTTTTAAACGACAACTGGTTATTAACACACTTCTTATTCTTCTATTATTAGTTCATCATTTTTTGGTGTCGCTTCCAACACTTATGATACCTATTATGACATTGTTTGAGATAATTGCCCCAATGAAAATCTTTAGATAGAAGCACTATTCCTTTAATTTAATTCTATTTATTAGAATGAGTATTAGTTTTTTTTAAACTAATTAAATGGAAACCTGTAACAAATCTTTATTATAACCTAATGAAGTCTTAGCAATCTAATGTTTTCGTTTTTATCTCCCATTCTATATCCATTTAGCTTTAATTAGATTTGTTATTTTGTAATCAGTTATTATTTCATCTATGATAGCTTTAGTTGATAAAAAAAAGTGAATTCCAAGTTCAATTTGAATTTCTCCAATTTGAAAGCCAATAACAAGGTTGCAGCTTCAATTTTTTTGCTTTTATTTTTCTTTTCTCTCAATTCATTTAATGCAAATCTTTTTGAGGAGACCTCCAAAATACTTTTGATTTTCTCGAATTTTTATGATAATTTTATTTGTTATTTTATTTAGTATAAACTATCTCTCATGACCTTGGTTTAAATTAAATAAATAATTTTACAAAGTTCCTTACCAGCAATTTGAGATTACAATTCTTATATAATCTTTATAAGTTATTAATTCTGGATATTCTTTTCCATTCTAATACTATTTAATTATTATTAATACCCTATATCTTTCGATACTATCCCAGGGGAATGACTTCTCTATGGTGTTTTAAATATACTGCTGCTATTGCTATAATCTATTGCTCCTAATCGTAATATCAATTGAAATGCTTCCTATTTTTATTGCTTATTATAAAAGGCTTGCATTTTTTATAAATGTAAGAATAGTTTCTGTGATGCCATCAATAAGTGTATTTGTTCAAATCTTAAGGATAACTTACATTATTGATTCTAAATGATTTCTTACTTCATTTCCTAGTAAACTTTGAAAGACGAACGAATTAGTTAGTTTCTCTATTTCTAATCATTAATAGATTTCTAATATAATTACAGGTGATGCAGTTAAATAAGATTGAATTGTGATTTGGGATTTAACTGATGAAGCCTCAGATGGAACAGTTGTTTATCTATATTAGTGATAAGAATTATAATTTTTCATAATAAATTTTATGTCAATAAAAATATTATTTTATTGAAAACTCTTAACCATATTCAGACACTCATGACTAAACATAAATTATTTCTACTTATGTTTAAAATACAATCTCAACAATATCTTTTGATATTGACATGTAATAAAGATAGTTTTGAGATTAACTATCTTTCTATTTAGTATTCTATTTGGGTGAAGAATTTAAAAATATGTATATTTTAGAAAGGATAGTTGAATGTGTAGTATAAATCTCTAAAATTTATTTTTTATTATAAAATTTCAATATCAGTTTTATAATTTCTTTTATTAATAGAGTGAGAATTTATTATAAAATAATTATGAATTAATTAATATATGTTAATCCATAACATTTTATTGGAATGATCATGAATAATTAGGATTATCAAATAAATATACCTAATATAATTTGATTGATATTGTACTTTATATATATAGACTCCTAAATTCTAATTACTTCATTTTTTTTCATTAATAAATTTGAGTTTAACAATAATCTTCCTTTATAGTTTAGTATTAAAAGTTTATAGTTGTAATCAATTATGATTATGTTGCAAACCTAGTTCAAATGTAAGTCTGTATTCTTTCAGAATAAAATGAAATTTCGTGGAATTTGTATAAAAATTCCAAAGTTTAGAAAATATATTGTTGATATAAGACTATTTAGAGATATTAATTGAAATGATTACAGTATAATTTATAGGTTTAGTTTATTTAATAATAAATTAATTGCATTGCTAATGTTAAAATATATTTAAGATCAAGATTTTGGAACCTTTGAAACATTACCAGTGCAAAGATAGAAAAAAGTGTTTTGTATGAATATGCCAATGTAATAGCTAATTAAGAGTCGATCTGTTTCTTAAATTTTACATGATGAACTCATTACGTTATAAAAATCATCAGCAAGAAAAAAATAAAAAGAAGAATCATATTAAGAAAGAATTTCATCACCAATAAAACCCATTGAGATGTCTTAATCTATTCAAGCACTTCCTAAAATTAATTTACAAAAAACTTAAACAGAATAATTGAATAAAACAAAAAAGAGGATTAAAGTATTTCATAACATCTCAAAAAGACAATGTGATTTAGATTAATGGAATTAAGCATTCTACTAAAATAGATCTATTAATGGATAATCCCCAAGAATTTAAGAGATTAAAAGAGCACTCTAAGATTAATTGAATGATGGCAGATCTTTAAATCTTAATTCAAGTACTCTGTTGAAATTGAGTAGAACTGAAAGTCCGAAAAGAAGACCTAATGTAATTATTTATTTGAATCTAATAGCTTCAAACTGAAAAAACATTGAGAAATCTATTATGTGAATATGTTTTAGATGATAAAATAGCCTTTAATGATTTAATCCTAGATAACAATCGCTAAGTCCAAGATCCAAAATACATGATTGAATAAGTAGTTATGAACTACGAGATTCTTAAACAAATATTTCGTATAGAAAAAACCATCACAAAAATTATTTTAAAGACCCAGGGTTTAAGCAAGTAAGTTTTATTTTAAAACAAGAAAAATCATACACACCTTCTTTAAGGAAATTAAACCTAATTGTCCTAATGACATTTCGTAATTTGAATATCATTTTAAACTAAGAAGAAACATCTCTAAATCATTAATTATCTCTAAGTTTATTCTAGGAGTCGATCCTGAATTAGATTCAACTATAGACAAGTTATTGAACCGAGAAGCCTTATCGCCTGATTTACAATCCATAGTATTATCACCTGAAGAACTATTATAAAAAGCACTAGAGACTTTGAAATTCGATTATGACTACTTGAACAAATTGAATTATTTCAATATCAACTTGTAAGACTAAATTAAATAGAAGTAAGTTAAGGCAATCTAAAATAAATTGCTATTAAATGGAAGTATTATTGAGTAGAGTAATCTATCATTGGATTTCGAATAGCCATCAAGTTTGCTCGCTAAGATTAATGATTGTGAAAGAAAGTTAGGCAAATTTCAAAAAATAAGTAATTAGTCAAGATTTAAGTGCTTGGAAGCTGAGGCATATTTATATTATAGGTGAACCCTAGTTTTTCTATGATAAATTATTTATTTATTTATTAAGATGTAATCTAGTTAAAGAATATTTTATCAACCCATAGAAGCATTTTGTTCAACACTATTGTGCAAAATTTGCAATAATCTCACCATCGATCCAGTTGAATGTACTCAATGTGAAAATCTCTATTGCAAAGAATGTTATCAAATTTCTAAATCATCATATGATAAGTATTCTAATTCTAATTTTGAGATGCCCAGACTAAAATTGTGCTGGACCCTTTACAACTAAATAACCTCATCGCATTGTTAGGGATTAGCTTTCTAAAATATCATTTCGATGTTTCAATCATAATGAAGGATGTAAAATTGTAATGGCCCAAGAAAATGTAATTAAACATATGGCAGAGTGTCCATATCAATAAATTTCATGCAAATGTGGATAAAACATATTGAGAACTAACCTCGAATCACATGTATATTGTATATATATTATCTAGAAAAATATATGCCATTATCATAAAACCTAAAATTGCCCTGTGTGCTAATAAAATGTGACTTTGTAGGATCTAAAGAGTCATAAATGCTTATAAGAACTTACACAAATGATAAAATAATTATAAGAGAAATTTTAAGATTATAAAGAAGAGTCTAATTATGCTATAATTGAAATTAAAAATTAATAGAACGATAGAGATAATTAATTGGCTTAAGCTAAATAATAATTGTAGTATCTGCAAGATGAAAATAGTCAATTAAAAATTGAACTACAAACTAAATTATTGAAGTTTAAAGAGAATATAGAAAAATATGATTAATAAAGAAAACATTAAATGGAAAATTAAGAATAATAGTAATAAGCTAAAATGATATAGAATGGAGAATTGATTGATAGCAATTAATAGTTTTGCTCTAAAAATCACAAATTAAGTTTTTGGAAAAAACCTTCAGGTGAAGAAAAGAGAAAGAATTGTTCAAAATGTTTAAAACCAAATACTACTTGTAGATATTTTTGTCAATAATGTACAACCTTTATTTGCTTTAAATGTTTGTTTCCTGAATTAAAATTTGAAAAATAATCAATGAAACCTTCATGCTCTTCTAAGCATTAAATGAATCAAATCTCTGATGATTTTAGATGTTCTGCGTGCGACAAAAAAGGGGAAGACATGATTTAACCAATTGCTTTTTACTGTGCTTAATGCGAATTAAGAATATGCTTCTAATGTATTAAAAACAAAAAGTTTAAAGAGATTGATTGAGTAAAAATAAAGTATATTTATATCCACATTAAACTATATCTATATTTTATGAGCATCTTATATATAAGACACATTAAATTAGAGTTCAGTTTGGATAATTGTAATCCTAATATAAAAGCTACAAATTATTTAATCTTTACAGTAATTCCTGAGTATTAAGTCAAAATAAATTGAATTTTTGGAGAACCCAGAAATTTGGATTTAATTAGACATTTATTAAAATATTATATGGAAGATAAGGATCAAGTGCATATTTAAATAAAAATCAAATTTATATAATTAAATTAATAATATATATCCAGTATTTAATCAAAATTTAAATATACCTGACAAATTTTAAATAAAATTTTCATCAGAATTATTTCTTAATGAGTCTTTCTCAAATTACACTTTATACCAAGTATTTACATCAAAATTCTTCATTTCTATAAAATTTTAAACTAATTTTAATGCTTAAAAGGTATCCAATCGTTATTTAGGATCTTCTTTAAGAAATAATTTAATTAAATCGTAAATTTATCCTTATTCTTCTATATTTATTAAACAATTCTGGTTTTAATAATAAGTCGATTATTCTTTATTGTAGGGGAACACCTTTTTCAAAGTTAATATTTCATAGAAAATGCATCCAAGACTAAAAATATCAACTTTATAGTTATAAGTTTAAATTGTTTTTTGTGCATTTAAGACTTCTGGTGCACAATAACCTGTTGTACCACAATTAGGAAACTCATCCAATTACTTACCACCAAAACATGAAAGTCCAAAATCAATGATTTTAATTTTATTATAATTGTACATGATATTTGATGGTTTAAGATCTCTGTGTATTACACGAGATTGATGTATTTGAGTTAAGCCTTTTAATACTTACTATATTTATTTTTATCAAATATACTTCAACAATGTATAATGACTCTTATGAAGAATATGGAGTTTTTCTTGTTGATAATAATTATTGTAAATTGTATCCCTCTATAAACTCTGTGACAATAAAATAAGATTATTTATCTTTAAATACTTCTTTTAACTCCAAGATGTTCTGGGAATAATAGTTATAGATGGTTCTCAAAATGTTAATTTCATTTTTTATAACTGGTTATGAATTTTTCTGAATTTCAAGTTATTTTATGGCTACTTACTTTTGTGAAAGCTTACAAATACCTAACATAACCTAGAAATATTTTTAATTTACTTTTCCAAAAGATCCTTTTTCATTCTTCTCATTCAGAAAATAAAATTTTTTTATATTATCATATATAACTAATTATCCCATTTTTTCTCTTAAATATTGCATGTCGCTTGCTTTTCCATAAAATTCCTTAACTTTTCCCCTATAAAATAAAGTGAATCCAATTATATTTTGCTAGTCTAATAACCAAGTGAACACAGTATCCAATCCCAAAAGTTGGGTATATTTAGGGGACTTTTAATTAGGACCCTATTTAAATAATCGTGACAAAATTTACATCACTCAAAGTTAAAGAATGTTGAGTTAAAGATAAATAATATTATCTGTCTTTAAAAAAGTGCTTTCTAATTACAACACAAACTGCTAAAATATTGTTAGGGGAGCACTAAGATGTTGTAATTTGATAATTATTCATTAAATTAATAATTATTTGATTCAGTAATACTAAATGTTGCTAAGAATAAAGTTTCTCTTAAAGTCTTTCCCAACCTCACAATATTCTGTATTGGTTAATGAGTTTTAAAAATATTCAATGTTACTTTAAAGAATAATCAATATAATTCAAAATTGAATGAATTACATCAAATTAGAATTATGTAATGTATTAAAATTTTTTCTTATAAAGTAATTTAATAATAATATAAATCAAAGCCGACGTCAATTTTTCAAAAATGCCGATAAGAATTCATATTCATCATTTTCTTTTAATAATTAACTGGGAAAACTGCCAATCATTAAAATTTTAATTATTTAACTCTTAAATAATTATAAGATTACTATTAGTTATAATCGTGATATTTGTTAATCAATTAAACTCCTCCCATTAATTATAATAAGACATATTGATTTTGATAATTTTAGTTAAAAGGCTAATGGAATTCCTAAAATATTAAAGTTTTTCATTACATTTGACTTTTGATTCGAATTTCAATTCTAATAACCTGTAAAGCTCATCCTCTCTCTCTGAGTTAAAACCATACAAAAGAAATTCCAATAATTTATCAATTTATAGAATCAGTTTTTTTATTATAATTCATTCAATAAAATGGCTTCAATTCTAATAATTATATTTATTTTAAATTATACTACTTTAAAAGAGCCATCTTTACTCAAACTTGAACTAATTATGGTTCAAATCCCAGCTAAAACCGTTTAATAAAAAAGATTAACTATTTCCTATATGAAAAACAAATAAATTTTAATATTCTTATTAATGATCTAATTTTAGATTATATTTCTTACTAATACTAATGGCATGCTAAAAGGAGTAAGTATATAATAAGAAAATTAGTTAAGAGGGGTGATTATTAATTGAAAATCATTAATATTATCAGTGATATATTTAATTTTATAATTGTTGTTATTTCAATTGTTGCTTAAGAATCCTAATTTCATCTCTTAATTACTTTTTTTATTTTTTCCATTAAAGTTCTTTAGCTTTGTATTTTTCTAAAACATTCTGAGTTTTTAAGAACAAATTGTGTAAATTATCATTAATTAGCTTTGATTAACCTTTAGCATAATCAGACTTTTGCTTTGGAAAGTATTTCTCTTGATTTTCTGACTCCTTCATTAATAATTACTACTGTGCATTTCTGGCAGATTTACATACCTTGATACCTTCTCCAGTTCCAGCCTCTAAATTAAAGTATTTAGTTACATTTCTGTTAGCTTTTGTATTAGATATATTATTTCAAGACCTCATTCAAAGATCCAAATTTTTGCTATCTTTAATTAGTGCTTGTAAAAAACCCTAAAATACTGTGAATGAGTACCAGAAGAATATCTATTTTCAAGACTTTAATTTTTTTCTGAAGCACTTTTTGCACTCTGAATATTGAGTTTCTCATTTTCTTCGCCTAAATATTGCAATAGAGGGGGCCTTTTTATTTTAAAGCCTTCTAAATCGCTGAATTATTTAGGAGTCTTGGAAGTGGCTAATAAATTATCTAAGTTAGTAGTTTTTTTGGATTAGCTCTAAGCTTTTCTTAATACTGATATAAGTTCATCTTTTATCTTTGTATTCTTTTTGGTTCCACTATCGTTATTGTTACTAATTTTGCCGATGCTTTATCTTAGAGAGGAATCTATGGTATTTTTTGGAGTCGGTAATTTATTCTTAATTCTAAAATTGAACATCTCGCATTAGCTGGAACTTAAATGTTAAATAGATTTTTGAAGACTCTTTTATTTTTATGATTCTTGATGTTTATCGTTAAATTTGATTGTCTTATTAAATGATAGTAATTTATGAAGAGCAGTTAGAGGTGCAATTTATAAATTATTTATCATATAATGAGTTTTTTATTGAATTCATTAAGATTTCATGAAAACAATAGGGAATCTCATTTAATATTAACATATGAGTGGAATACTGGGATCTACAGGGAACCTTTATCTATATATTGAATAGGAAGTATCTTCCAACTTCTGATTTGTAATGAAGAAATATGTTTTATCAATTAACAAGAGAGATACATTTATGAATAAGTTTATAAGCAATTGTTGTAATTTATGAATAATTAATAATTATATAAGTATAAAAGTTGTAAGTTAGGAGCATAATAGATCTGTCCTAAATTAGTTAATGTCTTTTTTGTGATAGTCTTATCTTTCTATCAATATCAATTGATAATTTAAAAGAGTTTTGTGATTAAATCGAATATAATTTAGCATTATATATATTATAAATTAATTATTAGTAATGACTGACTTACCACCTATTCCAAATTTAAGAAAGCAATCGTTACTTGGAGCTGAAAATTACATACCTCAAACTCATAATATTATACCTCTACCGTAAATTGTGGAGAATGTTAAGCCTTAAAAGTAAATAGTTATTTATATAAAAGGCGAAACTTCAATCTAAAAGTGGGTGACATAATCTATTTCAAATCCTATTTGAGTGATGATTTTAAAGGAGTGATATCTGGCGATGGAATTGCAAGCAATAAATTAGAATGTATTCAGGTTTTAGGTAAAAATAAATTATAAGACGTCTAATCTCAAAAAAGCCTGTAATGCAAGGTTGGCAGCCTATCATTCTAGAAAAGTTTATTTTAAATCATTACAGGCAAAAAATACTTATACTAAAATTAATACAAGGAAGAAAAAGAGAAACCGATCGATACCATAAGGGAAATAGCTGCAGATGAGACATACTAGATGGAATTGGATAAATTGACATCTGATTATGATAAAAGATTGGAGGAATTTCAAAAAAAGTGCGAAGAAGAAATAAATGAAAATGAGAGATTATATAATCATCTCTATGGATCTAATATAGTTTATGGATAAGAAATCCAACTCTTACACATATATTCAGGATGCACACTGTCTCTGAATAGTGACATATTAGCAAAGGAAAATTGTTGTAGAGAACTATCCTTGGAAGAAATACCGAATTTAAATTCAAACTTTAGAATTTTATCTATGAATTCTGTAAAAAATCCAGGTGAACCAATTTTATATGGAGATTAGATTATTGTTTAAAATTCTAATTAATCACAATGGAACTTAGGAATATAAAAGCCATCTGCAAAATTTGAAAAAAAGGATGGACTTGAAGTTAATGCCTCTGAATAAGCGTACCCATTGAAAATTTCAAGTTATATTGATAATAAAACAGAAGAAGAAATCAACAAATAATAAATCAAAGGAAAATATTTGTAGAGTGGGGATGTTGTGTCTATAAAAAATAGATATTTGGGAGGCTACCTGTGTATCAAGAGAATACAAAGAATAACTGATGGATTAGATAAGAAACCATTAATTATTAAGGATTATGAGACTAATATCAATTATGCAATCAATCAATTTTATTTTGATGTGGATAAAATAAGAAATGAAAAAATTAATTAAATGTATTAATTATATGTTGATACTTCACCTAAAGCAGATGAAGAGTTAAATTCTCTTTGGTAAGTGCAGCATGTAGATAGTTTAATATATTCAAGACCCACCTATGAAAGTGTATTTTTAATAAGACATGTTTGTACTGGATTGTTCTTACAAATTACAAATTATGGAGTTGGATTGACATATGATGGGTTGAAAATGGAATGTCAAATTAATCTGAAATCCAAAAAAACATCGAATGATACTATTTCTTATAGTGAAGCTTGTAAAATATAATCTGCAATGAACTTTTAAGTTGATAATTATGTTGCTTAAGAAAGTGTGGTTGTTGTTTGTTTAGAAGAAACCAAAGTGGCTGTGTAAAGGAAAAGTTAAAAGTAAAATATAGAGAGAGCAACTTTTCTGTTCAAGTAAACATCTCAAGATCTTTCTAAAATATCATTTAGACTTAATTCACTTCAAGAATATTTAATTAAGTTTTATATATTTTTATAGGATTGGGGTGTAGTTAAATCTATTGAGCAAAATTAACAAAATTAAGAAGAAAAACGAAAGTATGAATATTATGAAGCTTTCAATAATCAAAAGTCATTATTTGATGAAATTTTACAACTGTTTCAAACTTTGGATAATCTCAAAATGTATTTAACAAATGAAGGAAAACCTTAATCTAATGAGCAATTACAACAAAAATAAAAGGCATTAATGGATAATGATATTATTAATCTGCTCTTTGCAATTTAAAGATTGTGCAATTGTATGATTTACGGAAATCTCAGAGAAAATAATAAAACCATCTAAGAAAAAAGTCCTTCAAAAATAGCCAAGATGAAATTAGATCCAATAGTAACTTAAACTCAAAAAATCAATTGTATTTAAGAAATCTACTCTTTATTGAGTCTCTGTGTTTAAAGTAATCCAGAAACAAGCAATTATGTTCTAAGTTTGGAGATGAATAAAGAAAGCATCCTAGATTTCTTGCTTTAATAATTGAAACATCAAAGAGAACATGTATCCAAGTTAATTAAAGAAAGTGTACGTTATACAGATATGAGTGATACAAAAGCCAGTATTAAGAAATGGGTTAACGAATTATAGCCTTTGACTGAAGATAACATAGAGGATCAAGCACTATATATTGAAATTCTTAGTTTAATGATGATCGACCCTTACGAAAATCCTAATTCATTGTGTTAAGATTCTTGTAGAAGATTGCTATTTGGAACAAGAAGGAAACCTGATTCATCTCTACCTTTTCAAAAAGCCTTAATTGCTTTAGACATTTATGAGGAGAACCAAAACTATTATCCAGTTGTCCAATTTTCACCAAAGAGAGAAAAAGGTATGTTATTATAATTGTCACACTAATTCGGATAGAACAATCCAACATTTTGCTAATTGTATTTGAGATTTGTTGAGAGACAGATCAAAGTCGCATAGCGATTTATTACCAGAAGACCTCCTTTAGTTGATGTAACCATAGATTTCTTTACTACTGAGGCATTAAAAGAAAATCAGTTAGTAAAACAAGAGGATCTTAAGACAGTGATGCCAATATTTTTAAAATATGAAAATTATTTGATGAATGTTATGGATTTATATTCATCATTATGTAAGGGAAGAAATTAAAAAAGTATCAAATGTTTAATGAAAAATTGTTTTTTGAATGAAAAGTTTTTGGAGATCTGTTTGAAAAGACAATAAAACATCAAAACAGAATTGAGATTCGAAAGGACTTTGATTGAATTATTCTGTAATTTATATTTAGATATTGATCCATTGATCAAAGTGTCATAATTTGATAATAAATGTTATTTAAACGATGATTTGGATCAATTTGATATTTAGAATCAATCAGGAGTGTATTTCTATGAAAACAATGCCACAAAATAATTGAAAAGAAATGAAGAATATCAGAAATTCCTTAATTAAAAAGAGGCAAAAGCAGAACATCAGTATATGAAATTATATGCTTCCAAAATGTTATCCAGAAAATAAATAAATGATGTTAGAATCTACTATTTAGAAATTTTTACTTAAATAGATTATCCAGATCATTTTAGAGTTCAAGAATTCAGTGGCAATCTATTATAAACTTAAAAGTCCACTATTAATCAAATCAATATCGATTATAAAAGATTAGCCTATTACTAGTTACAGTACTTCTTGGGAATTTTATAAATAGTAAAAAATAGTATTGACTTGGGATATAATTAATTAGATGAAAATTAAAGGATCTTTTCAATATTGCCCAATATTTTTGTGGCATTGATTTTACAATAAAGACCCGATAATAAAATACATAAATTTAAAGAGAATGAGAATTTTGAATCAAATCTATATAAACTTAGTTAATCTATTGAAAAGAATGTTTGGGTTACAACTTATTTACCCACTGCTTAACAATTATAGGAGTAAAGAAAATCTAAGCATAAAAAATAAGATAAATCTTCAAAATAATCTGAATAAATAATCAGATAAGATATTTAATTTTAAAGAAATTGGATTCTTTAATTTTTGATATGGACATTCCAATATTGTACTGATGATTTATTAAAAATGAAAATATACTTAGAAGGTCTTTAAATTTTAAAGATTTTTGGATTCTTAAAATTGAATCTCTAAATTCTTGAATTTCTATTCAGTAAATAATAATTAAATGAGTCAAATTTAAGCTCGCCCAGTTCTAGAGATCTTGATTAGTTTGAGTTCAATAATAATGAAATCGACAATAATATTTAGGAGGAATAGATTAAAAAATAAAAGACTCCAGCATAAAAAGCTATATTTAATGTTTTTAAGGAGCCTGATGGAAATAGGTTTAGTGCATTATTGTTTTCTTGTTTACTTTCATCAGAAAAAAGAAATAAATTGAACGAAGAGTTACTTCAAATTCTTATAGATAACTTTCATGCACCCAAAAATTCAACAAATGAAATTAAGGAAGTAGAAATTATTGATAACTTAATGGAATTAAAATATTTTTCAATTATAAATGGAAATTCAAATACTGTTTAGATCATCAGTCCCAAAGAAGCATAAATTTTAACAAAAAGAGCAACAAAATACATTCAAAATAGCAAGAGGAGAAAAAATGCTCAAAAAAGAGTAACATCATTTGATTCCTTAAAAAACTATCAATCAAAAATAATTGAATAATTTGAGTAATTCTTTAAACCAAATTCTTAAGAGGTTTAATATTTAAAATCCTTTTAAAATATTGTAAGAAATGCAGGTGTTCATTTGGTATTTCTATAATTTTTAGTGAAACCCTAAAATATTTGTAGTACTCCAGATATTGTTTAATTTTATAAGAAATTAATTTTGTTTTTTGAATATTTCACAAAAGATAATGAAACTAACATAGCGATTCTAGCTTAGAATGAGTACTTATATAAACTACTTGATATAATCTAAGTTGATTAATAAGACGC